ACTGATTATTGAAATGGATTAGCAAATAAACAGAGAGACCATTGTCTGAGCGAGCCCTTTAGGGACCATTGTTGAAACTTCGGCTGTGCTGCTAATCTAAGGTAAACATTTTACCAGCCAGCCCCGTTCTTGAAAAACATTGTTAAAGTTCATCTGGGCCAGGACCCATCCGGCAGCATTCTTTGTGTCTTTCCCTTTTACATAAACTTCTTTCCTCCTGGGAGTGAAGCCATTTTTAGTTTCCTTCCCAATGCTTAAAAGCAGTCGCTTTCCTTCATAGAATCATAGAATCGTAGGACTGGAAGGGACCTCGAGAGGTCATCTAGTCCAGTCCCCTGCACTCATGGCAGGACTAAGTATTACCTAGACCATCCCTGACAGGTGCTTGTCTAACCTGCTCTTAAAAATCCCCAATGATAGAGATTCCACAACCTCCCTAGGCAATTTATCCCAGTGCTTAACCACTCTGACAGTTAGGAAGTTTTTTCTAATGTCCAACCTAAACCGCCCTCGCTGCTGTTCAGCGCTGGTCCTGTGCCCTGGTTCTATCAAGAAGATGGCTGCATTGCTCCAAGGGGTGATGTGATCCTTAAATACACACAGGGCTAGATCCAACCCAGCTGGTGCAGCAATGCCCTGGCCATCCAAGGGGAGATTCAAGGCTTGTGGCTTCGATAAGGGCTGGGGACAGCTGCTTTCAAACTGCCAGAGATCTATCAGAGCTCCGCCACTTGGAACAGCCTTTGAGTGGGGGGACTGACTCTTTGGTTGCTCTGGCCATGACTCGTTTTCAGCGAGCGATGCTCACATTTTGGCCCCTTCCCCGTAAGCAGAGCTGCATCTGCTTTGTCCTGACATAACACCCTCCTGGGGCAAAGCTGCCATGCGCAGGAATCTGCAGCAGGGCTGATATCTGTGTGACCCGCCAGTGAATCTGACCCATGGTTGGCATGCTGGGATCCTTTGGGGTGAAAAGAGTGGGGTGGGGGCAGCCCTTCAAAATGCCATTTTTCATAAGTTGTTTGCAGTGTTGCAGTAGCCATGTTGGTCCCAGGATAAGCGAGAGACAAGGTGGGTGAAGTATTTATTTGGAACCAAATTCTGTTGGTGAAAGAGACAAGCTTTTGAGCTCCACGCAGCTCTCCATTAGGGCTCTTCTTCAGGACCTGAAGAAATGCTCTGTGGAGCTCGAAAGCCTGTCTCTCTCACCCACAGAAGTTGCCCCAATAAAAGGGCTTACCTCACCCACCTTGTCTCTCTTTTACTTAAAAATAATGAATCATAATTGCCCCAGATTGAATAAGGGAGTGGGCGGGTGAGGTTCTGTGGTCTGCGATGTGCAGGAGGTCAGAGTATATGATCATGATGGTCCCTTCTGGCCCTAATGTCTATGAGTCTATAATGAGTCATGCATGGACCAGGGTACAGTTTCTCCTTCCAAGTAGGTTGCCACAGTAACCAGAGTTTCTTTGCTAGAGAGAAGGTCCAGAGATGTAGGGATGTTTTTGGGATGGGTGACATGGCAGGGGACACAACGAGATTTGATTCTCTCCACTTCATTCACCCTAATGCAGCATTAACACAGCCAGACTAGTTCCCCTCCTGTTGACCTTTCAGATGTTTGAAACCCATTCTGTCCAAGTCAGAGGCAGAAATTCCAGAGACCTTCCTCCCAGCCCTGCTGGGAAGGGGCAGACAGCTCAAAGATTAGCTCGGAAGCAGAAAGTCCCATTATTATTATTATTGTATTCAAGGAATACCGTGAGGGCCCATTTGTATAGCAAGTCTCGGTTCTGACCCAAAAGAGTTTGCAATCTAAATAGACAAGCCAGGCAAAGTAAAGGATTATTATCCCCCTTGTGCAGATGGGGAGCTGAAGCCCAGATCCGCAAAGGTGTTCTGACTACCTAACTCCCATTGATTTCAATAGGAGTTAGGCATCGGAATACTTGGAGCATCTGGGCTTAAGTGACACACATGAAGTCTGTTGCAGAGCTAGGAACTAAAGCCAGATCTCCTGAGTCCCAAGACTTAACCCCAAGTTCATCCTTGCTATTAACATGGAAGCCTTTAATGCTCTCTTCCCCCGCTTCCCACCACAGAGCCAGCTAGTGGGTAGCTCTACGGCTTAGCAGAGTTGGGAAACCTCTGTGTGGCTTGGCAAAGGAGCCGGGGGAATTAGAACCGCATGCGCTTTTGTTCTGACTTATCGAGTTGTCATGGGCGTCGTTTCCCTGCATTCTCCTGAATGCATCACCCCAGCTTGCAACTGGTTCCCTCTGCTGCTGACTGGCCCCCCTCCAGCCCTGTCCCTCCCCCAAAACTTGGAAGGTGATCACACTCCAAACGAGCAGCCGCCAGCCAGCGGAGTGTCACACCGAACATGCTGGTACCTCCTCTGCCAGGTTTGTTATGCTAATGGACCCACCATAATCCGCTTTGCAACATCATAATAATTAGTGACGGATTACAGACTCAGGAAAACACGGCACTCCTCAGTGTGAGCGGATGGATGGAGGCTTTCGGTTCGGGAAAGAGGGGTTGGGTGGAGCAGCGTGTGCTTGCGAAGATAAAGGTGCAGGTACAGAGCTGGGTTGAGGCATTTAATCACAGCCTTGGTTTGTGGGCAACGTGGAGTCACATTTCCCCCCAGGGCAGCTCAGCGAGCGATTGGTCATCAAGGCGCACCCCAGTGCATAGGAATGGTGCACAGACCGCACCATCCTATCAGGGCGATGTACATCCTTGGGAGCATATGGAGGGAACAGTCCCTGCATTCCTGCAAATCCAGGGACTTGGATTATCCCTAGTCCCTGCACAGAGTGCTCTCTGCAGCCCGTTCCCTGCACATCCACACAATAGCCAGAGAGACCATCCTGCCGACTACACAGAGATTCTGAAAAAGCCCCGTAGATATAGTAAATTGAGGACTGTGTTGGACTTTCAAGTTATCACCTTAAGGGGGAAAGGGGTTCTGCTCATGTTCATAAGAACATAAGAATGGGCCATCTAGCCCACTATCCTGTCGTCCGACAGTGGCCAGTGCCAGGTGCCCCAGAAGGAATGAACAGAACAGGGAATCATCAAGTGATCCATCCCCTGTTGCCCATTCCCAGCTTCTGGCAAACAAAGGCTAGGGACACCATTGCCTGTTCGCAAGCTAGAGGGCTCTGTAGGGAAGTGTGTTCTCAGAGCCAATCTGGAAAAAGCCATCTTAAAGCAAAGTAGGGTGAGCTGTACCTGGCTGCCTTAGGAAGCAGCCTGTTTTTTCTCTCTCTGGTTTTGGGTTCTTGTGTGTTATCTTGAGTTCTGAGAGGCAGAAGGGTCCACGAGTTAAGGCACTACTCTGGAGACATGGGTTCAGTACCCTGCTCTGTATACAACTGGTACAGACTTCCTCTGTGGCCTTGGGCAAATCACTTAGACTCTCTATGATTCTTTTCTCTATCTGTAAAATGGAGATCATTGTAGCCTACATCAGGTAAGCCATCTATCAAAGGGTCTTAGATGGTTCCCATTATAATAGCTTCTGAGCACCTCAAACTCTTTAATGTGTTTATTGACACAGCACCACTCTGAGGCAGGGTTGTGATGTTATCCCCACTTTACAGATGGGGAACTCAGGCACAGAACAAAAAAGGGCTGATTTTTAAAAGCATTTAGGCACCTCCAAAAACCCAACTGTAAGGGACTTTCCCAAGCCAACAGCAGAACAAAGGCTTAAACACACGACTTGACAAGTCTTAGGTTAGCACCTAGTCACTGGGTCACCCTTTCTCTCAGGTGCCAATTTGTTTTTCCTGTCAGATGCAGAACGTTGCCTAGTTAGTCACATTATGCGCTCTCTCTCTCTCTCTCTGTTTCTCAGGGAGACTTTATATTCATTTTTTTCTTGTTTTTCTCTCTCTGAAACAAATGGCATTTTGAATGAGGGCTATATTGCTACTATTACTTATTTATACTGTGGTTATGTCGAAAGGCCCCAACCCAGGAATGGGACCTCTGCGCTGGGTGCTGTACAAATGGATAATGAAAAGACTGTCCTTTCCCCAAATACATGGGGCTTATTTTAGTTCTACAAGGGGAAATATAACATTAGAGATGGGTCTGAGATGCAAAATTTAGATCCAGATTTTTAACCACTCATCACTGGGAGAGCCTTTGGACTCAAGGCTTTGGTTTGGGCCCCTCTCCAATGGAAATGAGGGACGGGGGAGAGGAAAGGGTTGACTCATCTGATGGGGCCCTGATACAACTCTCAAGTACAAAAGGAGGGGCTGCTACTTTGGCACACTGTGCTCAGTGCCAAAGTCCATCCCACAGTGCAAGGCTAAAGTCCTGTCCCCATTAGTCTGCATGAGGCATGGGATGGTATTGATGTGGTGGGGGATGGACGGGCAGTTGGTGGTGATGGCACGTGGATTTTTAATGCCAATCCTGTTTCTTTGCCTGTTTGGGTCTGCAAGGCTCAGACCACAGAGCAACCAGCTCCCCGGATCCTTACTAAAGCAGAGTGGTCTTGAGGTCAAGACCCAGCTTATGGCTGAAGAACTCTGGGTTCACTTTCCCAGCGCTACCCCATGCTGTCAATCACAATCACTGACTCAGCCTCACAAGGCACTTTTGACTTAATCCTGCAAGGTCCTTAAACTTGTGCTTACATGGACTTCAATGGGTTTTCCAGGTGCTTAAATTCAAGCATGGGTTTAGTGCTTGGCTGGCTTGGGACCAGAAAGCTCAGCAGGATTGAGCCCTGAGATCCTATATTAATGGAAAAGCAACAAGGAGTCCAGTGGCACCTTAAAGGCTAACAGATTTAACTGGGCACAAGCTTTTAGTGTTTAAGGTGCCATCGGACTCCTTGTTGTTTTTGTGGATACAGACTAACACGGCTACCCCCTGATACTTGACACTATATTAATAGAGGCAGTTGAAGAACCTAAACAGAACAGGTGAAGCTAAAAATATCTCTAACGTTTGTCTCCACCCTTTCTCTGCAGCCCGGGGAAATCTCCAGCCATGGATGCAAGGGGTTATTGCAGTGGCTGTTTTCCTAGTCCTGGTGGCAATTGCTTTTGTGGTCAATAAGTTTTGGTGTCAGGAAAAAGAGTAAGTGCGAGTTTTCCTCGTTCCATTTGATTTGGGCTTCATTGTTGCCAGAGCAACTCCAAAAGCAGGGCGTTTCGAGTTTTATCTGCGTGGGGCACAATGTGATCACTGCACAAAGCGGATAAAAACAGGGAATCTTTTCTGATCCTCTTAATGGTATCGGTTTACAGGGACCGTGGACAACACCGCACAAGGCGATGGTCGTACTGTGTAACTCCACAGCCTTGTGGTGGCACTTTCACTTCCTGTCCCTGACAGAATCCAGAAATGGTGCTTAAAATGCCAAAGCCTTGTTACCGAGACATAAAAGTGGCAAATGTACAAGTTCCAAACTCAGGAAGCGAAAGGGCTGAAGTTCCAGACCCTGAGCTCATTGAAATGTTCATCGCTCCAGTCCCTTCAGTCGGGTGGCATTTAGAACAGACACTGCTCCTTGGCCCAGCTCTTACTCGGTATCAGGGAAGGCCAGCTGAAATGATGCATGTTTCACCACTTACATGGTGCCACCAAGGGATACAGGGCAGTTCAAAGGACGACTGACTAGCCAGTCTCAGAGGGCCATGTTTGATTGACTTAAAGAGTGGTATCAAAAATTATAGCTGCTGAAAATCTGGCCTATGGAGATCAGTGATGTTATGTTCATTGACATATTTTGGGGATCTGGCCAGAGAGGAAGGATGGTCAGTAAGACTTGGGAGGTCTGGGTTGAAGTCTCTGCTCTGCTACAGACTTCCTGTATGGCCCTGGGCAAGTTAGTTAAGCCCAGATTCTCAAAGTATTCACACGCCTAACTCCCAGTGATTTCAATGGGAGTTAAATACCCAACTACCTTTGAGATCTGGGCCTCAGGGTTTGTTTCCCTGGACGTTTACTTTGCGGCAGGGGTGTAAATCTCCCCTGCACTAGCCAACCTCATCCATGTGGACCCTGCTGATGCACTCTAAGAGTTCCTTAGTGCGCTTTGATCTAGTCCAGTTTCAAAGAGGAGTAGATCAAAGCACATTAATGGACTGTTAGTGCAGGTCAGCAGGGTCCACACAGACAGAGCGTGGCAGGCTAATGTGGGTTCTAGCTGCTCATGAACCCATCAGTGCAGTAGGGAGATTTGCCATTCCCTACCTCCCAGGGGTGTTGTGAGGATGAAGATATTAAAGACCAGTAGTTGCTCAGATAATACGTTGATGGAGGCCATATGTGTACTTCTGATGAATGGTTTAATATATTAAGATTTAACTTGTTAAACACAGACCACAGATAGACAGGTTGTGCGATGCTGCTGAGGTCACCACCCTCGAGATGGGTTGACTTGCTTGGTTTCATGTCAAACCCAAGCATTCCAGGGTTGAAAGTTTGACTCAAGCCAGGACCATTCTGGGCTCGTGAGGCTGGGGGGAGGGGAGAAATGAAGCAGAGAGAAAAATTCTAATGAAAAACTATGGTGAAATGGGGAGCAAGGAGAGAGAGCAGGCTAAGTGAAAGCTAAACAGAAAGGGGTAGAAAAGGGTTAGAGAAGAAGAACGAGAAAAGCTGAATGAAGAGAGAAATACAGTAGACAATATGGGCCTGGTTCTCAGTTACTCTGTTTCTGTATTTGGGGAAGAGTTGAAAGATACCCTGGGAGGTTTCACCATCCTCTGAAGCATGGGTTACTTGCTGGTTGAACTAGAATACATGGTGAATTCTCTGTAACTTGTGGTCTTTAAATCATGAGTTGCGGAGTTCACTAACTCAACCAGAGGGTAGGGGTCTATTACAGGAGTAGGTGGGTGTGGTTTTGTGGCCTGTGATGTGCAGGAGGTCAGACTAGATGATCACGATGGTCCCTTCTGACCTTGAAGTCTGAGTCTGTGAAAGAGGGGATTAAGGTCTCTGGCTTTAAACCGCCGTTGGGATCCTGCAGGGGTCTGTCTGGCTCCAGTGTAAGCTAGAGCTGCCTCAGGGCTGCTCTAACTTCAATGCTGCTTTCCTGTGCCCCCGTGGGCCCTGAGAGGCAGAAAATAGCTGTAGCACAGTGTGACCTGGCCACATCCCTGATCCACTCCCTACTCCTCAGTAGGGCAGACCTACACAAAGTAGGAAGCCCCTAGTGCAGGGGCATTTTCAAGGGTCCATTTCTGGCACTTTACATCCCCTTTACACTACCAGAGTGGCATAAATGGGTCTTAGGATAGCTGAGGATCAGGTCCCATACCCTCCTAGCTTCTGGGCATGCCCTTCTCTCCTTAACACAGAGCACAGGCTACCCTTGGGCTAAAGTACATGCTTTGATTTTTACATCAAATTGGATGCTCCCTAATGGTGTCTAGTAAGAGTCAGGAAAGAGGCCCCGTTGCACAGCTGTTTGGTGATGGAGCCAGCACTACGTGTCACATCTGACCCCCTCTCCCCAGGAGCCTAGTTTTGTCTCTGGCTCAAACATTGCTCCTCGGTGTCCTGTCTCGTGTTAGAATCTGCCGGCTAGGCTGGGAAGGCTAGAAGCCCATTTTGCCTCTCACCAGGAAAGACGCTGTGGAGGCGTAGCAACCTGGCAGCATTTCCAGCCCTGGTTCTGTCACTGTGGCTGCAGTTAGCAGCTTAATCCCTGCCTGTTTCTGCCTTTACATTTCTTGTGCAAGCCCCAGACCTCACCCGCCAGCAAGCAGGGAAGGGAATTGGAGACATGCACCTTCAACGGAGCGGAGTCAGAGCAGTAGATCCAAACCTCCCTCAGGGGAGGGCACAGTGCTGGATCTGGCTCCAGGTCTAAACTTCTTTGGCTCACGTCTAGCTGTATGATAGGCTGACCCAGAACAGCCTGTCCAATTGGCACCATCAGCTTGGGACACGGACACACACAAACACACCTTCTCAGAGGCATACTCCAAGACACCATTTGAGGCAGAGTCTCTTCTACTGTTGAAATAAAAAGAACATTGCAAAGTATTTTGCAACAGCCCATTCAGAGACCGACTGGAAAAACCAGTTAGCAGCAGAAAACAATTCAAAGGTCTGACAAATTAGTCTCACCCAATGCTGCAGACCTGGCACTGATGTTACTGTGCAGCAGGGAGGGCCAACTGCAGGGATGTAGGATTTGCTATCTAGGCAGAAGGAGCAGTTAAAGAATGACTGACCCACCAGAAATCCCAGAGGGCAAAATCCTGCAACCCTTAGTGATTATGTTCAGGCAAAGTTCCTGAGCAGGGACTTTTTGAGCTGTAGTTATTAACATTCTGGCTGCAGAAAGTAGACAAAGCTCGTGAACAATTCAGTACATGTATAACCTACTGGTAAGTGTATGTTACAGATCCTCCTCCTTTGTACCCAGTCCGCAGAGACAATGAGTCCGTTATCACCCTAGTAAGGTCAAGCTGTGGGAGCTTTTTAGCTCTGGAGGTCGCTGGGTCAATCGCTGGTCTATCAGCCATAGAATCATAGACGTGTAGGGCTGGAAGGGACCTCGAGAAGTCAGCAAGTCCAGCCCCCTGTGCTCTGGCAGGACCGTGTAAACCCAGACCCTCTGTGGCAGGTGTTTGGCCAATATCTTTTTAAAAACTTCCAGTGATGGGGACTCCACAACCTCCCTTGGAAGCCCGTTCCTGAGCTTACCTCCCCTGAGAGAGTTTTCCCAAAGATCTAACCTAAATCTCCCTGGCTGCTGATTAAGCCCATTACTTCTTGCCCTGCCTTCAGTGGACATGGAGAACAATGGATCACCGGCCTCTTTATAACAGCCCTTAACATATCACAAGCCTGTTATCAGGTCCCCCATCCCTCCAAATCTTTTCTCAAGACTAAACAGGCCCAGGGTTTTGAAGCTTTCCGCATAGGTCAGGTTATCTAAACCGTTTATAATTTTTGTGGCTCTCCTGTGGACTCTCTCCAAGTCGTCCACATCTTTCCTCAAGCGCGGTGCCCAGAATTGGACACAGTCCTCCAGCTGGGGCCTCACCGGTGCTGAGGAGAGTGGGACAATGACCTCATGTGTCTTATGTACAACACTCCTGTTAACACACCCCGAATCATATTCGCCTGCTTTGCAGCTGCATCCCATTGCTGGACCGTGTTTAATTTGTGACCCACTGTAACCCCCAGAGCTTTTTCCGCAGCGCTACCACCTAGTGAGTTATTCCCCATTTTGTAATTGTGCCCGTGATTTTTCCTTCCTCGGTGACGCCCTTTGCACTTGTCTCTACTGAATTTTGACTTGTTGAATTCAGACTGATTCTCCAATTTGTCAAGGTCATTTTGAATTTTAAACCTGTCCTCCAAAGTGCTTCCCACCTCTTCCAGCCTGGCGTCATCTGCACATTTTAGAAAGCATTCTCTCCACTCCATTATCCACGTCATGAATGCAAATACTGGATAGCACTGGACCCCCGCAGGCCCCACTGAATCCGCCCTCCCAATTTGACAGCAAACCATTGATAACTACTCTCTGAGTAAGGTCTTTCAACCAGTTGTGCATCCACCTTACACTAATTTCATCTAGATCGCATTTCCCTAGTTTACTTATGAGAATGTCTTGCCGCACTGTGTCAAAAGCCATACTAAAATCACGATATATCACATCTACTGCTTCCCCCGTCCATTAGGTCAGTAACCCTATCGAAGAAGGAAATTAAGTTGGTATGGCATGATTTGTTTTTGACAAATCCGTGGTGACTAGTTCTTATAACCCTATTATCCTCCAGGTGCTTACAAACCAGGTATTGAAGTGAGGCTGATTGTCCTTTAATTTCCCAGGTCTTCCTTGTTCCCCTTTGTAAAGATAGGCCATGAAACCACCTCCTGAGCCCTCTCATCTCCCTCGTTAGGAGGAGCCCTTTGTTCCAACTGTCCCACCTCCACCTCTGTAGCAAGTAGCCTGGTGCCCTCAAGAGTAAGATCACTTGTCCCACAATGCTCGCTAGTGGCAGCTGCTGTAGCACGTCCTGGAGGATCGATGACCAGGGAGTGGTCAGCACTGTGATCTGCAGTGGAGAGCTGAATGTGTAAGATTCAAGGAACTGAGCTGGATACAGCCCGGGTGATTGGCAATGGGACTGGGGCATGAGGCGAGGGGCTGGTGGAGAACCATCTAGTCCTAGGAAGGATTTGAGGGTCACGCAGGGTAACTCGAGTCAGGGGTAGCAGAAGCTTCCTAAAAGTGGAGGGCCACTGGTGCCCAAACTGTGGCCCCGCCCCAAGCACCACCCCTTCCCCCTAAAGCCCCGCCCTCGTGCCGCCTTCCCCCAAGACCTCCCCCCCCCGCTCATTTTTCTCTGGCCTCTTCCCCCCATCGCTTGCCCTTATGGCCGGTAAAAAGTGGGAAGGCCATGGACCCCTGGCCTCCCCTGTTCCACACCCCTGCCTAGAGTAGCTGCTGTGGACTAGTTTTGAAGCCTGGAGAAATAACTCTCTACTTACCTCTGTCAAGATCCCCAGCAGCCATCTGGGATCATCAAACCACTTTATTCTCCGGCATCTTTGCAATTCTGGGGTGCAGCTGGCAGAGGAAGAAGTGAAATGCCATGAGTTGGTGTTGTTGTCCCAGCCTGACGAGAAACACATAGTACTAAACAACTTGTGAGAAAACCTATCATCCTGAAATCTTCACCCTGGTTTAGCTGACCAGTTCCTGGCTGTATCACAGACTCTGTGCTTTTGGGCAAATTACTTAGGCCAAGGTCATGAGTTAGATGCTGAAATACCTCTGAGGAGCTGGGCCTTAATTATGCTCGGTACCTCAGTTTCCCCCTCTGGAAAAGAAGGATGAGGACCCGGGGGTGCTGAGAAGTTACTGTTTGTGAAGTGCTTTCAGGGTTGGGAATAGAGCCCTGGGGCGGCATCTCAGCTGGTGTACCTGATCAGACCTCCGCTGACTTCAGGGGGCTATCAGTTTACACCAGCTGATGTGCCTGACTCCTGGTCTGCAACACTGTCCCTGGGTCATGTTGCCCGATAGCGGCAAGGAGGCAGTGTGGTCCGGTGGCTAGCTCCCTAGCATGGAGCTCAGGGTTCTAGTCCTCATATTGTCTCTTTTTCTGCCACAGTTGTCCCCCCTGTCTATGACGGAGAGAATAATCCTGACCTCCTTTGTAAAGTGCTTTGAGATCTGTGGTGAAAAATGATGATGATTATCAGGAGCTTGGACAAGCATTCATAGTCTGGTGTGTGGATGTTAAGCGAACCGCATCTCAGGTCCGTTTGAGGTTCACTTGTTTGCTTGTGAGGGGAGCATGAAAGGATTCATTGGTTGAAAACAACATTGCCAACCCCACATGTTCAAACACCAGGAGTCAGGCTCCCCAAAAATCATGAGATTGGCTTAATCAGGAGGTGATGTAAACATAGATGTGGTGGTCTTTCTATTGGCCTTCTGCTTTTTGGACCTTTAGGGTGCACTATGGGGTCGCATATGGAAGCTTTCTCCACAGCCATGAGGGATAGACTCTCAGTTTTTCTTTAAGAATGAAGGCTGAAGTCATCACAGAGTCATGTGACTCCAGGAGCTGGGGCTTTAAGAAAGCCAATAATTATCATGCGACTCATGAGAGTTGGCAACACTGTGAAAATCAAAAAAACAGCTTGGTGGGACTCCATTACAGGAGGACGCACACTTGAGACAAAAAGCAAGGGAGGAACCATAAGAAAAAGAACTTCACTGATCACCTTATAGATAGATTTCATGCACAGATTGTTAAGGCCAGAAGGCGCACATTGTGACCGTCCAGTGTGAGAGTTCTCCAACAACTTGTGATCCCCTTATGCTTAACAATCGGTCCTACCTTGTATTTAGCTTGGATGCTCTGGTTACCTTCTCCAGACCTGAGGAAGAGCTCTGTGCAACTCAAAAGCATGTTCCAAAGATATTGCCACACCCCCCTTTTCTCTCTCTCAACGGCTTGATAAGTGGTATGAAAGCTTCTGGTTACTGTTCAAATGATACCTGAGCTTTACAGAGTGTGAAATCATTTGAGCTGAAACTCTGTTGCTCACTTGTGTGTCAGCCAAAGAGGCATAAATACAATGCAGCCAATGGTCCTTCCATGGTTCTATCTTAAATTCTTTCAAATGTGCTTCTTTTGTTAGGGAAAATATGGAGTCGGTGGTCACCATAGGAGACAAGAAGGAAGAGGATGTCGTATCCAACGGGACTGAGGGGAGGTATTCGATCACCGCGGCTGATTTCAGGTGAGCCAGGCGTTCAAGAACTTTCGAGTTCATCCGAAGTGGATCCCTTCTGTGCTATGCCAGGAGCGGGGCAGAAATGGTTTGATGTCTCACTTGGGCCATTCAGCATCTGGGTTCGGGTCACCAAAATAATCTCCAGTGTAAAGGAGGGCAGCTCCTCCTCTCATGCCCAGACCTGCCCCTAGTCCTACCTCTGCCCCCAGGACACCTCCTATGCCGAGTCTTGGGGGGAGGGGACAGCACAGGGCTGCTTATGGTGGCTCTGCGCAGGCCTATTGAGATTAAAATTTAGGGCCCTGGTACATCATGTTTGCTGGGGCCCCACCCCTATTACAGCCCAGTTACAAACGATTAGAGGGGGGGCCTGAGCTCAGGGCCACAGTACAATTGTCCCCCCTTTTCCTCCCTGCTCTTGTCAGTTTTGGCTGTACTGTACGCTTGCACTGGAAGAATTTTTCCTCTGGTCCTTTTCCTCTCTGCATGTGTGTAGGGGCCCACATCTGCCTTCATAAAACAGGGAGATTGCCAGGTGACAAACATTACAAGGTCAGATCAAGTCTCCCCTTTTTCCCTAATAACAGTTTATGAAAACAAAAGTGGATTTTTAAAATCAAACGGATGTGTTCACCCTTAATGCTGCCAGGTTCTTCAGCCCACTTGGATCAGCAAACCGGTCAGTTTCACTTTTGTTTCTGGCCAGGCTAGGCTTTCTAGGGCTGGCTTACAGGTTAGCAAAGATAGGGCCTGATCCTGCAGGGCTCATGCACCTGCATAACTTTATGTGCTATGAGGAGTCCCAAGGAAGCGTAAAGTTAAGCAGGGGCATACGCCTTTGCAGGATCGGGGCCTCCCGTACACTCATTTTGGCAATTCCCACCTCTGACAAACCATAATTGATGGCAGCAGCAGCGTAGACATTAGTGCAGGCCGAGCTGAGGCATTTTCACTAGATCGTAAAATTCTGTTATGGATTTGCCCTGGTTAGTCTGAAAGCCCTGGTTCCACCATCCAGAATTCCAGAAGCTGCTACTTGAGCATTAGCTGTTAGCATTACAGGCCCTATGACACATAGTTAATGTACGGTAGCGTCCCAGGGAAATGTTTGAATTTCATGGCATCTGCACGGCTGCCGAGTCTCCCCCGTTTCTCTCCCCAAACTGCTGTGATTCTTCCAACAGCGAGGAAGTGGAAGCTGTCAGCCCTGTCCCAGACAGTGGGGTTAGGGGCAGGCTGGCGGGAAGGCAGTGTCTCCCCAACGGACAGGATCCCAGGATGCCACTGCTGCTTCCGGTCTGGCTGATGGGGCGAGGTGGGGGGTCAGCGCTAATAATGCCTCTGCTCCTTGCCAGCCAGTGCTGGGGTGTCTCCCCTGGTCCTAGGGGTGCTTCTCCAGGGCTAAGCCAAGGCTCCTAATCAGTGCATTGTCAGTGCTGCCTCCCTCTCCATGGTGGCTGGACAGGAATAAGCAGCAGTGGCCAGAATCTCTGGCCATGAATGAGACACTGCCCACCAGCCCACGCCACCCTACTCCCCACATTTCCTGTGATAGGACCTGCTGCCTCCTCCCCGCCCCCCCTCTGGGATGGGCCTGCTAATCCTCTATGAGCAGCCACCACCTCCCGCTGCTGGAAAAATTGCAGCATGGATTTATCTCATGATTTCCATGAAAGCAAAAGTTACACACGTTGGAGCAGTTTTGACTTCATCCAGTAGAGGACAATGGTTCACATATACACAAGCCAGTTCACAACAATACCACATGGGCCATTCCTCTAGCTCCATTCAAACTAAGGAATATTGAATTAAAAGCCTAACCATAAATCCTTCCTTTACTGTCATGGTAAGTGTGGTGTACTGAAAACTTGGTTAAAATTGTAGGCTGTCACTTTAAATTTCAGGGGGGTTTCTTGTGGGTTAGGGCGCTGTATAGGGAAGCATGCATTCTGAGTCTAGCAGCAGTCAGTCTGCAGCCATCCAGCCTCGAGTAAGGTGGGGTGAGTTGTTCTGGTCTGTTTTAGGAGCAGCCTGTTTTCTCTCTCTCTGGTTTTGGGTTCTTGTGTGTTATTGTTTGGAATTCTAAGCAATGAAGTCATGTTACATTGCAACCTTCCAGCAAGAGTATTTATGTTTTTATTTACTTCTCTGTGTGTATGCTGTGAATGTAACAGTAACTGATGGCTTTCCTGTAACATTTCAGGTCCAAAGAAACCCAGCATGCCTACGAAAATATCATTGAGTACGAGGGGAAAGTCATCACTACTCTGATGTAAGAGCCGCCTTCAAGGATCGCTCATTTCGTGCCATCCTTTTTCGCCCCTCTCCAATTCTAACTTGGCATCCCTGTGCGGTGGTCAGCTCGATAGCCTGGAGTCATTGCACCTGGATTCACCCACGCCCCGGAAGATGAAGTTTGCTCCCAGCATCACCCAAACCTGGGCAGGGTGGGAAGGACAACAGCCACGGCTGCCTCTTACTCCCCATTCCCTGTTGGTGTGCAGGGAATGGGAGAGGCCATCCCCTCCAATGGCTCAGAACCAGATACAATGCAGAGGGGGAATAAAGGTCTGGTTCAAATTTCCCTCCATTCCCTCCCCCCCGCCAACTGAAGCAAGAGAGAAGCAGGAACCAGCCTGTTACTCCCAGAATCACAAGCCATTCCAGGCTAGGCTGTAAGATTGCAATGCTGCCCTGTTTGTACAGAAGCCCCTTCCTTCTCTTTGCCTAAAATAATGTCACCTATGACATCTCTTCTTCTTAGTCCTAGCCCGGTGTAATAGCATTTCTGTTAATCACCTGTGCAGTGTAACAGCCTTTCTTTATAGCCAAAGAAGCTCAAATATTCTACACACGTTCCCTCAAGAGCTAGTTATTTATTGATCGCCAAAGCTGGGCATCCTTTTGAGGGTGAGGTATCCCCTTTTCCTTTTTATTCCTCTTTGTGAACAAAAGCCAATTGGTTGAATTTGCCGGATCCAAAATCTCCTCTTGTGAACATCTTTTCCTGGTAGCAATAAAGAGAATTATTCTTTAATGTCACGGTGGCACCCAATGAGTTACAAGGCACAAAGCATCTTCATAGATGCCCAAAAGAATTTCATAAACAGGAAAGAACTTCATGCGGGGTGAAAAATGACATTCCTGGCAACATGCAGAAGGCAGGACCAGCCTGAGATTGCCACAGGAAGGCTAGGATCAGACCTTCAGTCCTGGTGTCTCTCACACATTCCTGGCTAGCCTACAGGCTCAGCCTCAGTGGGAGTTTTGAGCGAGCGAGGAATCTAGGATTGGGATCTATCTAAGGCAGAGCATTGATGGAAGAGAGAGAGAAGGATGGTTTTTGTGGCTGAGGCGCTGGATTGAGACACAGGAAATCGAGGTGCAGTTCCCGGCTCTGCCCCAGAATCCTTGTGTGACCTTGGTCAAGTCACTAGGCCCAGATCCTCAGTGGTAGTTAGGCACCGAAATCATAAAACCATAGGACTGGATGGGACCTCGAGAGGTCATCTAGTCCAGTCCCCTGCACTCATGGCAGGACTAAGTATTACCTAGACCATCCCTGACAGGTGCTTGTCTAACCTGCTCTTAAACCAATGATGGAGATTCCACAACCTCCCTGGGCAATTTATTCCAGTGCTTTACCGCCCCGACAGTTAGGAAGTTTTTCCTAATGTCCAACCTAAACTGCCCTTGCTGCAATTTAAGCCCATTGCGTCTTGTCCTATCCTCAGAGGTTAAGGAGAAGATTTTTTCTCCCTCCTCCTTGTAACAACCTTTTATGTACTTGAAAACTGTTGAAAATCATGTCCCCCCTCAGGCTTGCAACCCCTCAACATACCTTTGAGAATCTGGGTCTTAGTTTCTCTGGCCAAGATATTTTAGGCTCCTGACGTCCATTGAGTTCAATGTAAGTTAGGAGCCAAAATGCCTTTGGGGGATCTGGGCCTCCATTCCCCATCGGTAAAATGGGGATAACACGTCGTTCTTTCTCCCACTGTTTGTCTGTCTTGTCTGTTCAGACTGTATGCTCTGTGGGGCAGGGACTGCATCTTGCTATGTGTGTGGACAGCACCAAGCATCATGTGGCCCTGATCTCCGTTGGAGCCTCTAGGGGCTGCTGGTATACTGTTAATAATAATGGGCTGCAAAGGGAATCACATGCCCTAGCCTTTTCTGGAGGATTTCAGCTCTGGAGGATTTCTGGATGAGGTCACCCAGATTGTGGTTTAAAGCAAGAACTAAACTGGAGGAGGTTCAATGTGCATCAGCCTGAACCACCCTCCACAGGGGAAATATTGAAATAATCTATTGACGCATATCAGTTCGGTGGGTTTTCCAGCATTTAAGGACCATGGGCCTCACTGTTATTTCTGTTCTGATGGTCGCTGCTCTCTAGAATGGGCCAGAAATTGCTTGTGCAGAGATGAGGGAAAGAGAATAATAAAGTAAGGTAACAAAACAAGAGATGTCAGGGCCTGTTTGGTTGGAAACCTGGCGGAGAGACGGTTCTGAAATGGGGAAGGGAGATGGCTTTTTATTGAGCAATAATACTTAGATGAAAAAGCTATAGATCTTAAAGTGCTTCAGAAAAGAGTTAAATAGCATTACCCTCGTTTTACAGATGGGGAAACTGAGGCACCGCATGCAAATGGCTTGTGGCAAGGCCAGCCAGTGGCAGATCCATGGGGTCTCCTCAGCGCAGTCTAGTGCCCTATCCCCTGCCCCACATCAAACTGGTTCCCTTATTGCTAATGTGAATATTCCTAAGGCTGGACCCAGCTCCCCTCCAGGTGACCGGAAAGACTCCCATCGACTCCAGCGGGAGTTGGATCAGGTCCCTGAGAGTGGCTGGTGTTGGCACTTTCCTTGTTAGCTGCAGGTTAGAATGATTTCTTCTTGCTGGGCTGTTAATTAACCAGAACGCTTCTCATTCCTACGTGAGAGACGTGGGTTGTTTTGCTGAAGCTGAGATACGGGAGATTAGCTGCAGATGAGAGGCTCCGAACACCCTCTGCCAAGCATGCTTGGCTAATACAATATGCCAGCCCCACCCACCTAAGAACCTGAGCACACAAACATCTAGCCCAGGAGTATCCCCTCTCAGGGTTGCAAGTGTTTGCAGGGCTGGGCCGTTAACACTTAAAATCCTTTAGGGACAAAGCCTTTATAGCCTTCACCACTGCCTGGTTACCTCTCTCTGCTGGAGAAGAATGCTTTCAGTTCAGGTGGGGAATGGGGCTGGACTCAGCTGCAGGGAATTATGGCATTAAGGAAGGACTATAAGAGGGGATTTTGGGTGGCTCTGGGTTTGACTAGCTCTGGGGTTGGGGATGGGAGGGAAAGGCGATTTGGTTTGGAGTAACCTATCGTTTAGTAATAGTGGTACCTAGCCAGGATCCTACCGTGCTGCACAAACAGAACAAGGAGAGTCCCTACCTCAAACTTCTGTTAATCTAATGATAAGACAAGAGCCTACAGCCAGGTTAGCCTCATCTAGTTTAGTTTATACTCATTCCGCTCCAGCTTCATGAAATCCTCTCCCTTAATGCACTGAGCTTAGGCTTGGAGAAGTTTTTTAAACTGCCCAGGGCTCTTTGCCTCTGCTTACACGGTCTCTCCTGCCACCCTCAAAATATTTCTTTCCCACCTCAGACCAATTGTGATATTCCTTGCTCTGGTTTAAGAGGGGAAACCTCTGGAGTGCTTGTAAATCAAACTGACTTCCTCACCCGTGCCCCCTCTGTTGTTGAATCACTGAGATGTTCCCAAAAGCTTCAGTCAAGATCACAGCCTCTTGGCGCTAGGAGCTGTATACACATGTGTGAAAAGGCAGGGCTTTCCTGGAAGAACTTTATGGGTGTTACACTGGCTGCACAGATTTGCCGAGCAAGCTTTGAAACATTTGTATTGGATCAAATTTCAAGTATAGGAGCACTAATGCACATGTAGCTATGGGGGGAAGCTGGATGGGTGTGTAAAATTCTCTTGCCTTTTGGCTGTGTCTATTTAAGTGAAGAAGGGCTCTAGATCTGTGGTGTTCAGAGCCAGATCCAAATTGCTCTGCAGTCTAGGGCTCTGTGATTCTGAAATTTTGGCTGGGGCCCACTTCCCACAGCATCAGAGCAGTTCTCAGAAGAACAAAAACAGCTACATGGCCCCACGCCATTATTTCAAGAGCGATTTGAAGTTTTTGTTCGGTGAGCAGCCGATTCAATCTACCTGGAGGCTGAGTCAGAAAAGGAACAAAGCATGTTGTTTCTAGATCACACCTCCTTTTCTAGACAGCAGAGTTTTCTGGCTAGGGCAAAGGACTAGGATGGGAGCACACTGAGGTTCTACTCCCGGCTCTGATGCTGACTTGGGCCAGTCACTTTATCTCTTTGTGCTTCCATTTGCCTATCTGTAAAACAGGGATCATACCTTCTTTAGGGGGGTGTTGACAGAATGAATTACTAAGGGACAAGCAGTAGTCTCATTTACGCCATTATTAATACAGAGTGACTCCACTGAATGTTTGTAAAGGGCTAAACAGAGCTGTAGCGAGACCAAATATTTTTTGTTATTCACCGATTCTAGAGGATGTGTATCGTCCAGCAGTGGAGAGGTAACAGGCTTTCCCCCACCCTGACAGCACCTCTGATGCCAAGATAGGTGAAGAAGCAAGAGATACACAGAAAGGGAAAGCTTTAGTGTGTGTTATCCCTGCGGCCTATGACAGCAGGAAACTTGAAATCTCCTTGTTTTCTCTCCCTGTATACTGTCTGCTTACATCGAAACCAGAACCTAATGTTACTGGAATTAGGAAATGTTTTCACCCAGGTGATGCTGCTGATGTCTTCAGTAGGTGGCAGCCAGGAAATCCAGGGGCCCAAATAGAATATAAACACATGGCCTAGCTAGTGTCAAGAGAACAGTACTACTTCTGATAATATATAAAGTGCCCTTTATCTGAATGTTATGTTCATGGGATGCAAACAGAGAAGTCAACAACTTAAAAATACTCTTGCTGAAGGTCGCAGCATAACAGAACTTTATTTCTGGGAAATCAGAGCCAGAACACACTATAACCCTAAACCAGAGAGAGAGAATTTAGGCTGCTCTCCAAAACAGAGAGAAAGAATACAGGCTGCTCCCCAAAACAGAGAGGCATGACTTCTCCCACCTTACTCTAGTCTCGCTGCTGTGAAGTCTAGATTGCAAGCTTCTCTAGAGAGCCCCCTAGCCTGCAAGCAGGAGCAGGAAGCCCGCCACCCTGTGCGTTTAAAGTGACAGCTTGCAATTTCAATACCATTTTCAATACACCACACTGAAGATCTTAAAGCATGTACTAGTATAACAAAGAAAAGATTTTTTAAAAATCCAAGAGCTTTGGAAAAGTGAACCCTATTGCCTCAGGACCTAAGCCAGCTTCTGATTATTGGGGGTCAGGAAGCAACTTTCCCAGAGGGCAGTTTTGTATCCCATAACTGTCTATTGCAGGGTGTTTTGCACCTTCTTTGGATGCAGCTGGAACTGGCTGCTGTCAGAGACAGTCTACTGAGCTAGATGGACCCTGGGCTGATCCAGTCTGGCAATTTCTCTGTTTAAGATTTAAGGGTCCCAGTACTGCAATGAGGCAGGTGAGCTCCCCACTTTACAGGTGACAAGAGTCATGCACAAAAATTAAGTGCCATGCCTACATAATGAGTTCGTGGTAGGAACGGAGATGGAAACGCAGACTCCTGATTCCCAGTCCCGGGCTCTTACCCCTAGTCTGAACTGCTCTCCCAAGCATTCCTAGCCTAGGGATGCTCACAGATTGCAGCGTAAGCACTGAATGCTAGGTAGACTTCAGAAACCAGATCCTGGAGTTTATTGACAACTCCTTGCTCAATGGACTGTACCTCAGATTAGTCATTTAGACTCATAGACTTTAAGGTCAGAAGGGACCATTATGATCGTCTAGTCTGACCTCCTGCACAACGCAGGCCACGGAATCTCACCCACCCATTCCTGCAATAAACCTCTCACCTATGTCTGAGCTATTGAAGTCCT